TGTTTGAGAAACAGCAAGGAGGCCGGTGTCATTGGATTTCAAAATATATGCTGAAGTGTGAAGTGTAAGAGGACTGAAAAGGTGGGAGGAAGGTAGATTATGAACACCTTTGAACACCACACAGAGAATTTCATATTTAATCCTGGAGGTCAGTTTATTGAATGGGGAGGAGGAAGGGTGACATGGTTAGACCGATGCTTTAGAAAGATCACTTTGGTAGCTGATTGGAGGATAGACTGGAGTAGGGAGAAAGGCTTGTGGCAGGGAAACCAGCTAGCAGGCTATTGCAGTAGTCCAGGCATGTGGTGATAAGAACCTGTACCAGGATGGTGATAGAGTCAGATGAACAAAGGGGTAATGAGATGTTACGAAGATAAGATCAGCAGGACTTTTTAACATTGCCAATTGATTGGTTGTGGAAGGGGGGACAAGAGTAGAAGTCAAGGAGGACACGGGGTTGCAAGCCTGGATGACTAGGAGAATGGTGAGGAAGTTAGGAAGAGGAAAGGGTTTGGAGGGAAAAATAATGAATTCAGTTTTGTACTTGTTGAATATATCCCCGGGGACTTGAATATGAAGATTCCTATGGACTGTATATTAACTTAAAAAACCACATTGTCTATGTTCTTTTGTACTTTATTTTATTAAGTATTTCCCAGTTAAGTTTACTCTGGTTTAAATGCTCCCATCAAGTGTTGCGTCTGCAGGCCACATATTTGACATTTCTGAATTGTACTGGTCTGTCTAGCCATTCCTTCTCTGCGTATTGTATGCTGGTTGCTACTCCTGTATTATTTTATAAAAAAGTCCTCATCTTTTTCTTAAGGACAGCAAGCTTAACAGAAGAGCTGAGTGTTTCCATATCTCCCTGTATAGGAATATATTTATGTTGTAGCTCAAGCCTAACATGGTCTTGTATCATATTTAGAATAGAAAAAAAAATTAGTAAATTGTGTGTTCTTTTAGCCATCCCCTTCTAAGATAGCTTGCCCTTTTGTTTAAAAAGTAGTTATTTCTAGCCAACTTAATAGCTCTTAGCAAATGAAACCATTTGGAATTTCACAAGTGTGCTTCAGTTTCCTGAGTTTTAGATTTCCTATCATAGAGACAGTTTCAATAAATATACTTTCAAATGATAATAGCTCTGATTAAGACCAATTTCTTTATTTAAAAGAATAGCTAATTTTGCCAGTAGAAACTTTCAGAGAAATTCCATTTCGCAGCCAATTTTAGTTATTTCATTTGCCTGTTTATGTAGGCTTTGTTCAGGTTTTTAATGATCCATTCTGGAAAAATAAAATGATTGAAAAATGCTGTTTACCAGATCATGGTGTATATCTGAATGGATAGCCTGCTGAATTAGCCATTAAATATATCTTGGACAGATGTACAGATGGATATTTGCTGCATTGTTTTCATTTTTCCATCAAGACTTTATGTATGTATATGTGTGTGTTATTCAGTTTCTTGAAAGACATTTAAATATTGACTTTTAAAAATCATCGTTCCACTGCAATTCTGCATAACTTCTCCTATTAAGTTGGGCATTCAAAAAAGTATGATGTAAAAGGAGACTTCTCTTTTTATTTAAAATAAAATTTATTGTGAAACATGGTTTGGAAATAAAAACAGAAATAATCGTATAACTATAATCTTTGTAAAATGTTCTTTAAGACCAACAGGTGTTTCTTCTGGTACTTTTTTCGTGTTGTAAATTTTGTTTAGTTTTAACAAAACTATTTAACCTGATCTAGGCCAAGAGAGCTTTCCATTTTCAAGAAATTATTGGTTGATATATAAAGGAAGTTATTAATGAGAAGAGGAAAGTGAAATACTTTCACTTTGGTATCACAAAGACTTAATTTTCATTAGATAGAATTGTATTTAAGAAGTGCTGAGTAAGAGGTCAGAAAATTAATTTTTGGATAGTAGTTATCTCCAAATGCTGTGCCCAGAAAATAGCTTATGAACTTTTTGATATAAATTTATTTATTTGTAGTTTTCAACATTCATTTCCACAAGTTTTTGAGTTCCAAATTTTCACCCCATCTCACCCTCCCCCCACCCCAAGATGGCATGCATTCTGAATATCCCTTCCCCTAGTCTGTCCTCTTTTCTTTCTCTCCCCCCTTCTCTTATCCCCTTCCCCTTCTATTTTCCTGTAGGGCAGGATAGACTTCTGTACCCCATTTCCTGTATTTCTTATTTCCGGATAGCATGTGAAAACTTTTTTTTTTAAATATATATTTTTAAAACTTTAGGTTTCAAATTTTCTCTCTTCCTCCCTCCCCACCCACCCTCATTGAAAAGGCAAGCAACTCAATATAGGTTATACATGTGCAGTTATGCAAAACACTTCCATAGTAGACATGTTGTGAAAAACTAACTCTATTTCCCTTAATCCTATTCTGCCCTCCCATTTATTCTATTCTTTCTTTTGACCCTGTCCTCCTCAGAAGTATTTACTTCTGATTACACCCTTTCCAATCTGCCCTCCTCTCTATCATCCCCCTGCTCTCTTGTCCCTTCTCCCCCTATTTTCCTGTAGGGTAAGACAGATTTCCATACCCAATTGAATGTGTATGTTATTCCCTCCTTAAGCCAAATCCTATGAGAATAAGATTCCTCATTCCTCTCACCTTCCCCTGCTTCCCCTCCACTGTAAGAGACTTTTCTTTTCTGTTTTTTTTTTGTGAGATAATTTACCCCATTCTACCTCTCTTTCTTCTTCTCTGAGTATAATCCTCCTCATCCCTTAATTTTATTCTCCAGATATGACCCCTTAATCTTCAACTCACCTGTGCCTTCTATCTATCTAACTACATATACATACATATAATTTTTTTCCTCCAACTACCCTAATACTGACAAAGGTCTCATGAGTTATAAATATCCATGCAGGAATGTAAACAGTTCAATCTTAATAAGTCTCTTATGATTTCTCTTTCCTGTTTACCTCTTCATGTTCCACTGAGTCCTGTATTTGAAAGTCAAATTTTCTATTCAGCTCTGGTCTTTTCATCAAGAATGCTTGAAAGTCCTCTATTTCACTGAATGACCATTTTTTCCCCTGAAGGATTATACTCAGTTTGCTGGGTAGGTGATTCTTGGTTGTAATCCTATCTCCTTTGCCCTCCGGAATATTATATTCCATGCCCTGCAGTCCTTTAATGTAGAAGCTGCTAAATCTTGTGTTATCCTGATTGTGTTTCCACAGTACTTGAATTGTTTCCTTCTGGCAGCTTGTAATATTTTCTCCTTGACCTGGGAACTCTGGAATTTGGCTATATTCCTAGGAGTTTTCCTTTGGGGATCTCTTTCAGGAGGAGATCTGTGGATTCTTCCAATTTCTATTTGCCCTCTGGTTCTAATATATCAGGGCAGTTTTCCTTGATAATTTCTTGAAAGATGATGTCTAGGCTCTTTTTTTGATCATGGCTTTCAGATAGTCCAATAATTTTTAAATTCTCTCTCCTGGATCTATTTTCCAGGTCAGTTGTTTTTCCAATGAGATATTTCACATTGTTTTCTAATTTTTCATTCTTTTGGATTTGTTTTACAGTGTCTTGATTTCTCATAAAGTCACTGTCTTCCAATTGCTCTATTCTAATTTTTAAGGAAGTATTTTCTTCAGTAAGTCTTTTGGACTTCCTTTTCCATTTGGCCAATTTTTCTTTTTAGGGCATTTTTCTCCTCATTGGCTTTTTGGACCTCTTTTGCCATTTGGGTTAGGCTATTTTTTAAGGTGTTATTTCTTCAGTATTTTTTTGGGTCTCCTTTAGCAAGCTGTTGACTTGTTTTTCATGACTTTCTTGCATCACTCTCATTTCTCTTCCCAGTTTTTCCTCTACTTCCCAAAATCCCTTTTGAGCTCTTCCAAGGCCTGGGACTGATTCATATTTTTCTTGGAGGCTTTGAATGTAGGAGCTTTGACTTTGCTGTCTTCTTCTGGTTGTATATTTTGATCTTCTGTTTCACCAAAGTAAGATAATATAGTCTGACTCTTTTTGCGCTGCTTGCTCGTGATCCCGGCCAGTTACTTGAGTTTTAAACTCTTTGTTAAGGTAAGAGTCTGCTTCCAATGTGGAGAATGTACTGTCCCACGCTTCAGGGTTTTGTACAGCTGTTTTCAGAGATACTTGTAGGGACCTGTAAATTTTCAGTTCTCACAAGGTGGTATGATAAGGGGCATGGTGTTTACTCCTTTCCTGGCCTGTGACCACAAGTATTCCTTTCTGTCCCGTAACTGTAGGGAGGGGTTCCTTTCCACAGCCACTACAAGCTCCACCACGCCAGCGTTCCTCCTCACCCCAGCACCGCCACCCAGAACTGTGACCCAGATCCACACACGGGCAAAGCAAGAGATTCCTGCCTGAGCACTGGCAAAGAGATCCCTGCAGTCCCTCTCTGATCAGGGCACTGGATTCCCTGTCAGTCTGTGGGCTGGAAGCTCGGGAAGCAGCTGCCCTGCCTTCCCCTGACCCTCTCAGGACCAGGCTCTTGGGGAATGAAGCTGAGACCCAGCCTTCCTTTCTCAGCCCTGACAGAAACAGACTTTTCCCACTGACCTTCTAAGTTGTCTTTGGCATTAGTGGGTTGAGGAGTCTGGAAACCTCCACAGCTGCCCTTGATTCAGTCCTCTGAGGCCTGCTCCCGGTTCTCTTGTGGCCTGCGCTCCCACGCTGCACTGCACTCCACTCCCAGCCCTGCCTGATACACCTTTCTGATCAATCATCCAGGTTGTCTTGAGCTGGAAATTTGTTTCACTCTGTCTTTTTGTGGATTCTGCTGCTTCAGAATTTGTTTAGAGCCATTTTTTATGAGTATTTGGAGGGGTTTGGGGGAGAGCTTAAGCAAGTCACTGCTTTCACTCTGCCATCTTGGCTCCGCCCCTGAATTTTTTAAGTTAACCCTTTTAAAATGGATATTAATTTGTTGTTTATTTCCAGATAATTTTTGACTTTTTTTTTTAAAATTAACTCTTTGTTATCTCAATTTAGATGACAGTAGAACTGCAAGCCAGTTGGATGAGTTTCAAGAGTGCCTTTCCAAGTTCACTCGATACAATTCAGTTCGACCCTTGGCTACCTTGTCTTATGCTAGTGACCTCTATAATGGTTCAAGCATAGTCTCCAGGTAAGCATTATGTGTTAGTGGGGAAGTACATGAAGCATAAAGTCTGTTCTTTGTTGTGAGAACATGTGAAAGGTCATTGTGTTTATATTTTTAATATGGGATAATGGCCTGTCAAGATGTTTTTTGGAAAACCTCATGTTATGGTTATAGTTTCCTTTTCCAAGGCCACTTGTTTGGATTCTTCTTATTAAGAATGTCTCATTGATAACTAAATTTAATTATTCTGATAATTATTTCTTATACATATTGGGGAATGTAAACTTTTTTTCGTGAAATGATCAGTATACATATCTGCTTCAGTGAGTGACACTTGAATTTAAGCCACATAAAGCCACAGTTTGAATTCCATCATCAACTCTAGTTGTACCTTAATTTTTGAAAGTCAGTTATAGATTTATCATTCAATTAATTAGTTTATATGTATTTTGATAAAGTTGTTGTATCTTTAATCTTGTGCTGAAAGTACCTGGAGCATCACATAAATGGCATATTATAAAACTATGCCATTAATAAAAATAAGAATAGGTTTCATAAAAATGTAACCAGGCTAAGAAATTTCACATATTGCCATTTTCATAGAATCAAAAGAATTTTCTTGTAAAACAGTAAAAAAATTAAGCCATGTATTTCTTAGCAGAAATTGATAATTACTGAATTACCCATGAAAGTCAGACTTACAGTACACATCAGGTATGACCCAAATGTAACCTATACTGATTAAGTTCACCCTAGTGGGAATTGAATGCAGATGAGAGCCCTCCCAGAGGGGACATGAATTTTGATAACTGACATAAGTTTAGCCTGAATTGGTTTTGATCTTGTAAAAAATTCTTTCCTTTCTTGATCTATTGCAAGAACATCACTAATGTAGTATTTGCTTAGAAAATACTAGAAGAGTAGCAAATTTCTTGATATTTTCAAAGAGGAGAGTGAAATTCATTGTATGTTAAGTTTTCTTTTGCTATTATTGAAAATTTAAATGATCTTAGGATCATTTTAGCCTGAGGTCAGGAGATGGACTTTTGTTACTGTTAACAAACTTAATCCTGCTGAGGAATTTTCATATTATATCTTATTATTTTAATCAGCCATGATCCTCCCCACTCCCCCTCTCCAATCTCAGCTTCCCATCCCTGGTTGAGAATGCAAGGAAAAACAAAACGCATTACAAACACTTATACTCAATTAAAACAGATTTCTGCCTTGACTGTGTCCAAAATAATATGTCTCAGTCTGCATTATGAATCTTTCACTTCCCTATCAAGAGGTGGGTGGCATGTTTCATCATTAAGCCTCTAGAGTCCTGGTTGGTCATTACACTGATAACAGTGATAAGAGCTCACCACAGTAGTATTCCATTAAATTCATTTAAGTTCATTCATTCTTCAGATTACCATTCTTTGCCACCTCTAAAAGAGCTATGAATATTTTTGTACCATCCTTAGAGTTAAACATGTAGAACAAATCCCTCCCTTAATCTATCCTTCTCATTTCTCCTTCTCCTTCTCCATCTCCATCTCCCCTTTCCTTCCTAATTCCATGTTGATTGAAATGTATTTCTGAACTCAGCTCTATGTGTGTTCTTCCTTCTTTTTGGCTAGTTCAGATGAGAGTGAGGTTTAAGTGTTAATTCTTCCCACCACCACCTTCTTCTTGATTACATAGAAGTCTACTTGTACACCCTAATTATGTAAGATAATTTCTTCCCTCTCCTCCCCCAAAGTGTATTGCTGTTGCTCTTTCTTTCCCTTCTTAAGATCATGGAGACATATCAGAAACACTCCCGGGCCTGTCTAATTACACTCCCTCTGTGGACCCCAATGACAGTAGGGTTCAGAAGAGGACACGTATCATCTTTGATTATGTTTGAATGTAAGCAGTTTATCATTGTATAGTCCATTATCGTTCTTCATTCATATTTACCTTTCATGTTTCTATTCACTCCTGTGTTTGAATTTCAAAGTCTCTTTGCTTCTCTGGTCGTTTCATCAGTAATGTTTAGAAGTCCTGTATTTTATTAAAGATCCATTTTTTCCCCCATAGCATTATGCCACACACACACACACACACACACACGTGTGTGTGTGTGTGTGTGTTTATCTATCTATCTATCTATCTGTATATATGTATACATGTACATGTAGCCAGGTAGATTATTTTTGCCTGTAAGTCTATATCCTTTGCTTTCTCTAGTAAGTTTTCCACTCCTTTATAGTACTGGCTACTGAATTGTCACTGATCCTGACTGTGATTCCTCGATACTTGATTTTTTTTTTCCCTAGCTGTTTGATATATTTTTTCATTGACCTAGAAGTTCTGGATTTTCCCTGTGATTTCCTGGGAGTTTTCATTTTGCTTTTTCATTTTTTTCAGGAGGTGACCTGTGGATTCTATTTCCATTTTACCTTTTGGTTCTATGAAATCTAGGCAGTTTTCTTTTAAAATTTCTTGAAATATGATGTTTAGGGTCTTATTATGGTCCTAATGTGCAGTGATCCTTAAATTGTTTTCTTCTTGATTTGTGTTCCAGGTCATTTGTTTTTGCTATGAGATAACTTTACTTCTTTTATTTTTTCAGCCTTTTGGCTTTATTTTAAGATTTCTTGTTGCCTTATGGAGTCATTGGCTTCTATTTGGCCCATTCTATTTCAGGGACTTTTTTGCATGGCCAAAAGTTTTATTCTGTTTATTCTCTTTTAAATTCTTTCTTTCATATCTTTCATTTCTTTTCTAATTTTTTTTCTCAAACCACTCTCATTCCATTTATAAAACATTTTTAAACTTTTTAAAAACTCTTCATCTCTTTCAGAAATTCTAGTTGAGTTTTCCCTAAGATATGTTTTTCTCTGAGGCTTTGCTTATAGATGTTTTATAGTCATTCTCTTCTGTGTTTGTGTCTTGAATATCTTTTCCATCATAATAGCTCTTTATGGTTGAGTTCCTTTTGTGTTTGCCTGTTTTTTCCTGTCTACTTCCTGACTTCAGACTAGATCTTAGAGCTGGCCTCTGCCACACTTCTGGAGCAAAAGTCTGGGCTGGTCCTGTTGTTGCTTTCTTGGGCCATTGAGTGTTGTATTATTCTAAGATTTCAAAGATAGGATGGTGATCTGAAAGCGTTCAGTGCTCCAAGGCAAAATCCGATTGCTACTCTCCTGGTCTGAGTTCCCCAAGTTCCTGACCTGAATTTGTGTCTGTGCGAGAGCAGACTGCTGCTTGACTCTCTCCCCATCAGCCAACTGGAAAACTCTGTTGGTTCTTAGTGGCAGAATTTGGGACTCCCTTTAGTCTGAGTTTCCTGCCGTTGTTATTGTTTTGCAGACTGCTTTAGACACTGGAAATGAGACCCTGTTCGGAGTTTGGGTTTGATTCATGCTGCTGCTGCCTTCTGAACTTCCTTCTTGCTCAGTACATACGCAGGGCCTCCCCACCCAGAGAATGCTGCTTACCTACGCAGGGCCCCTTCTCAGCCTGGTCGGGATCTGTGACCTGGAGCTGGGGAGTAGGCAAGCAAGACTGCCAACTGGCATCTGTCACTGTCACAGTGACCTTGTTGGGGTCTGGTGGTGTCCCCTAGAGATTTAGGACCTCCTCTTGCCCAGAGGTGCAGTTCCCTGAGCACTAGAGGGCTGTGTGGTTGGCATGTGCTAACCCAGCACTGGCCCCAGGATCCACACAACTCCCCATCTATCTTCTTTATGCTGAACTGAGTTGGACAAATGATTTTCTGGATTTTCCTGTCATTATTTGATCTGATGCATTTTCTAGATCTGTTTAAGAGCAGTTTGTCTGGGGGAAATTAGCATAGTGGTTCCATCACTTAACCATCTGTTTTTAAAAAATGTGTTGAATACTTTAAAATGGCTTTGTTTTGTCAGGGAAAGAATAACTTTCCTCAGAATTCTGACTGCACAATTAATACAAAGTATATAGGATTGCATGTGAATCATTCATTATTCCTCTGGAAAGCATTGCAAAACACACTGAGAGGCAGCAGTCTTGGAAAATACTAGTTATTAAATTTGTCTCTCTCTCTTTGATCTATTTATCTAATAATATGAGTCCACAAGGTGGCAGCCTTTGTTCAGTTTGGAAGTAGTTAAAGAATAAAGCTGAAAATATGTGGAAGTTAATGTCTTATATTGATAGACATTTCTTAATGATGTATGGGTTAAATGAAGGCCACTAATGGAATAGGATAGAGAAAGGTTATAGAATTTCATACACACACACACACACACACACACACACACACACACAAATATGTAACAGTACCAGTACAGACTGTTTTTTCATTTCAATTTTTGTACTTTCGGTGCCTTCCCAGCACAGTCCTTATCACATAGTAGACACTTGTTGATGGATTAATTGCTCTTTAATATTATTTTTTCTGATATGAGATATTCCTTGATGAAATTAATAATAGTAAGTTGTTAATATATATGCGTATTAGAAGTGGCAGTTATTTCTTCGATTCATAGAATCTTATAGCAAGATGGGGTCATCTTAGAGACCATATTCTCTAAATTTTCAATTGGAAGGGGTCTCAGTAGACATCCATTTCAACCTATACCTAAAAACATAATTCCCTTTTAGTCAGATTTCATTTATAAAATGAGAAAACTTAGGCCCAGAAAAGAGAGAGGAATGACTTGCTCACTATCAACATCTCTAATTGAAGTGTTTCTCCTTCCCTTTCAGTTTCTCTATGCCCAGTAATTGTTTATCTTTAAGCCAGGGATTTGTTCTGTGAAGTCTGGATTCAGTCACTTAAGGACTTCGAGGGGGCCCCACGTGGCTTCGGCTGCAGGTTCCCCTGCAGGCTCCTGCCTTAAACATTACTGTACATCTTTGCTTAGAGATAAGATAAAGAATTGAGAGAATCAAAATTTTAGCATATTATTCCACGTACCTTTGACTGGATTTAAATCACAGTGCTTGCACTTGCTACCTGCAGTAGGGTTGGCCAGTCACTTAACTTCTTTAGATTAAATATTCTTTTG